AGGGGTGAACACGCAATAGTAAGAGGAGGGAATAGGGGGGGGCATATGTGGCAAGATGGTAGCCTAAGCTTAGTCATCCTAGAGTGGTCCCGGGCTTGCCTTTGGGCACTGCTTCAAGGGAACAATAACAGAAAGGACTGGGCCCTACTTAGGGTGAGTACAGTCTGGCCGCTCTAGATGACTGATGTTAAGGAGCATAACCTCTGACCTACTTTTGCTGACACCTAGTGTACAGTCATACTCAAGCAGTTAAGTCTGGTACATATTGGGGAGACAGCTTCAGAGAAATCCTTCTGTTCCCCACAGATAAATACCTGGTATACAGTCATACTCAAGCAGCTAAGTCTGGTACATATTATTGGGGAGACAGCTTAAGAGAAATCCTTCTGTTCCCCACAGATAAATACCTGGAAAAACAAACCCTCCCCAGATTATATCAATAGAGACGTCAAGAACTTGAACAGGACCATAGCAAAGAAGAAATACCAAGGAACCATCTGAAAAAAGGCCTGGCCCAGATGACTTCACAGGAGACTTCTACCAAGCATTCACGGAAGAGCTGACACCAGCTCAACACAAGCTCTCACGACAAACATAGAAATGGACAGTAACCTCCCAAATACATTCTATGAAGCTATTTTTAACACTGATACCAAAACCAGGCAGGATCTCACAAGAATAGAGAACTACAGGCCACTATCTCTAATGAACATTGATGCAAAAATCCTTAACAAAATTTTGCCCAATAGAATACAAAAGTATATAAAATGAATAATTCATCATGACCGTGTGGGATTCATACCACGGATGAAGGGATGGTTCAACATCTGAAAATCCATCAACATTATCCATCACATTGACAAGAAGAAGGACAAGAACCACATGAAAGGCACTATATATGTTCGATATAATCCCGATATAAAAACCAGCATCATTTTTCAAAGAAATGGAAAAACTGATTACCAACTTCATACGGAAAGAGAAGAAGCCCAGAATTGGCAGCGAACCCGAGAAGAAGAATAAAGTGGGCGGGCTTATATTACTTGACTTTAAAACTTATTATATAGCCACAGTTGTCAAAACAGCATGATACTGGTATAATATACTCAGACCAATGGATAAGAACAGAAAATCCAGAAATAAAAACAGCACAATACAGACAACTGACTTTTGATACAGGCCCAAAAACATCAAATGGGAAGCAGATGCTTTCTTTAACAAATGCTGCTGGAAAAATTGGCTCTCAACCTGCTGAAGAATGAAGCAAGCCCCTTACCTCATCCCATACACAAGGAAAAAAAATTTTTTTAATCATGTTATTGGGGGCTCGTACAACTCATCACAATCCATACATAACATCCATTGCATGTCAAGCACATTTGTACATTTGTTGCCCTCATCATTCTCAAAACATTTGCTTTCTACTTAAGCCCTTAGTATGAGCTCATTTTCCCCTCCCTCACCACTCCCCCCTCCCTCATGAACCCTTGATAATTTATAAATTATTATTATTTTATCATATCTTACACTGTCCAATGTTTCCCTTCACCCACTTTCCTGTTGTCCATCCCCCAGGGAGGAAGTTCTATGTAGATCCTTATAATCGGTTCCCCCTT